TGTATGTATGTATGTATGTATGTATGTATAATAATTTTTCATCTTAAATCTAACATAAATACTTAAACATTCTCGTGTTTAATTCATTTAACTAAATTGCTAATTGGTATTTTAAAAAGTACTTAATTAATACATCTTTTTAAATATTAATTATTCTATCAATTTATTTTTCTAATTGCAATTTATATCATAATTAAATTAGCTTCATTTTACTAATTTCTAATTAGGTAACATTTTAGAATTAAATCGGACAATTAGATGTAATAATTAAAATAAATTTTCGTACATGAAATTTCCCTTCAGTTTCCTCTGCCTTAACTTCCTCGTCAAAATCCCTATTTTTTAAGAATTAATTATTAAATTTTTTTTGAAAATTAACTGAAATAATAAAAAATTACTAGAAGTAAAATATAAATAAAATGAAGGATAAATTATTAAATCTACCTGGAATCACCTCCTTATTGAAATAGTAGCGGGCGTTTGTCCTCTTGCATATTTAAAGAGAATGAAATGAAAATGATTCTCTTTGTGGTACAAAATGAAAAGTGATTGTGCCTTTATGCTATAAAATGAGATAGTGTTGTGTTTTGATGATATAAAACAGAAAAATTATTACCGGTACTTCTGAGATAATTTCTAAAAGAAAAAAAAGAAGTGGAAAAAGTAATTGATTAAAGGAATGAAAATGTAGTTGATTAAGATTTTTTAATAAAATTTTATAAAATGAAAAATGCCAAGTTTATTTTATAGATTCATCAACATATTCCTTTGAGTCATCATGTTAGGCATTTACATAAAAAATTAATTCATAATAAAGTGATAATTATTCACCAAGTTATTTTCCACTTAATTTATTTAGCTGTTCTATTAGGAAAATATCTTCTTGACTGATGATTTATTGGAGAAACTTTGTTTATAGGAGTAGAGGGATTGTTGATGATAGGTAGCAAGCTATTATTTATTTCTATGTTTTGTTACTTGTATGGTATTGCTTGTTTTACTGTAGTAAACTGGATGAACTTATGTGTTTTGCTTAGAATATATTTACTTGTGTATTATTGGATGTTATTGTGAATTAATATTACAATATAGAAATAATTTCTTTGATCATCGGGCCGGATTGTGACAATTTCAACATCCTTAAAGCATTGGAAGGGTATGAAATGGCTAAAAAATAAGTAAATCCTTCCGTGCAAATAAAGCATTCTAAGTTGATCTTTTCATGAAATTGTGCCCATCATCAACCATCATCATGACATTTGTTTGAGCTGGCTTGTGGTTCAAATGTTAAGGTCAATACAGAATTGCTTTAAAACGCTAACCATATGATTATGGGTGCATGACTTCAGAAAGGCTATGCAGAAAAATTTTAACATTAATTACAGAAATTGTCTGACTACGTTGACTTGCATAAACATAAATCTGCTATAAAGCAAGCATAACATGTTAGGGGATCAAAGAATGCATGCGATATGGTAAGCTAAGCACTTAATCCAACCATGAATTAGTTTATTTCTTTCATATGCTTAAGCTTGAAGCCATGATAAGCAGGGCTTCAAATGAAGTGGCTTATGAGATGCCAAATTAGGCTGTTTGGTCGAGCTTAGGGGCTTGAGCTAGCTTAAAATTTTATCAAACATGGCATTTGGCTTCAGAAGATAAAGGTATTTACATAAATTGGAACATATCCTTTTTCTTCATATTTGGTTAATGTCACTATCTAATGATAGTAAGGACTAGAAACGATAAAAATCAGATTAAATCCTGTATATAAGCTACCATGTGTGACTGACACAATAAAGTAATCTTTTTTTGCGAGTGGGAAAGAATGTTTCATCTGCTTCAATCTTTTATTTGTTGGAGTGCTGTCAACATTATATATTTGAATGGATTAGTGTTGTCTGTAGTGTTGATTTATTTTTTTATGCCTTTATTACTTCCAACTAAGCACATCGACTTAATGAAATGATATATAAAAGACAGCAATATCACATCATTTTTTTTTCTTTTTTTGGCAGGATTTCCATGCACCGATACTTGCTATTCCTGGAGTTAAAAGTGTGGTTATTGCTGTTTTCACTGCAGCTACTTTTTTTAGTATTGTAAGTCAATTGTTGTAATATTTATGGTCAATCTTATTTGAATTTTTTTCTCCCTGGAGTTGTGGTCCTGGTTTTCATATTATGCCCATTTGACATTTAATATTATCAATTTTGTGGTCTCTATTTCATTTTACACAACCTCTTATCTTGCCCTTGATGTCCAAATTTTGATACGACAAGCATTGCATTTGGCAATTATACAGTTACTACACACTTTGTTCACCATTTTTCGAAGTGATATAGAAACCCATCAGTAAGTAATTTTCCGAATCATTTTTGGGTTGGAATGGTGATACAAATTCAAATGTAAATTCACAAAAGAGCAAGTCATAAGCAAATTATAGTATGCTTCAAAATAGCAAGTGCATAAATCACATAAAATGAAAAGTTGTAGAAATTTTCTAAGATCTGTAGTTATTTTCATGCACATTAACTACTGTTTTTATCCTTTGAAACTTGTATTTTGCAAATCATATAAAAAATGTTAAAAGTTACAATTACATGTAAGCAAATTTATCTCTAGCTTCCCTGAGGAGAGCAAAAAAAGGAATATCAATATCTGGGAATCTATAAAATAAACTAAAGAATTGATTGCTCATGAAAAACTTCATCTATTTATAGAAAGTACACTACATTAGATACAAATCTCAACATTCCCCTCAAGATGGGCAAAAGATATTCACTAAACCCATCTTATCACATAACCTAGACAAATCTAATGAGCTAAGTCCTTTAGTGAAGTAGTCAACTACTTGCTCTCCAGTGGCTACATGACATATCTCCAGTAGTCCGTTATTCAGCTTTTCCTTGATTCAGCTTTTCTTTGATGAAGAACCCCTATCAATCTCCACATGTTTGGTTCTATCATGTTACACAGGGTTGTTAGCAATGTTGATTGCCGACTTGTTGTCACACCACAACTTCATTTGAGTTCCCTGATACATTATGGTTTCAACCAAGGCTTTCAACCACATCATCTCAGAAACTTCTAATGTCATGTCCCCGTGTTATGCCTGTATTGTTGACCTTTCTACAACTGATTGTTTCTTGCTCTTCCGCGAGACCAAGTTGCGACCTACAATCATGCGGTATCCTGATGTGGATCGTATGTCATCAGCACAAATTGTTCAATCAGAATCACAAAAGTCCTCAATATCTACATTCTTCTTGAATGTGAACATTTTTCTTGACGCACTCTTCAGATAGCTCAAAATCTGATACACTGCTTCCATATGGCTCTTTCTTGGATCATGCATATAGCAGCTCATCACACTTACTGCAAAAGAAATATCGGGTCAAGTGTCACACAGATAGGTCAAACGACTCACCAACATCTAGTACCTCTCACGATCAATTGATTCACCTGCCTCTGTACAAAGCTTGATCTTTTGATCAATTGGAGAGACTGCAAGTTTACACCCCCTTATATCTGTCTACGTGAGAATATTCAGTACATACTTTCTCTGGGATAAGACTATCCTCTTAGGATCATGAGCAACTTCAATCTCAAGAAAGTATCTGAGTTGTCTCAGATCCTTTACCTCAAATTGCTTCTCAATCTTTCTTTTAGTTGAACAATCTCTGTCTCATCCACACTAGTGATGATTATGCATCCACATACACATCAAGTATGATAGTGTGATATTCATGTTATCGAAAGAACATCATGTGGTTTACATTGATCTGTTGATATCTCATGCTAATCATCGTTATTCTAAACTTGTCAAACTAGGTTTAAGGAGACTATTTCAAGTCATATAGTGACTTCCCGATCCTACACACCTTGCTCGTTGTCTGGGATGTACTGAATCATGGTGGTATCTCCATATATACCTCCTTCTGGAGCTCCTTATAAAGAAAAGCATTCTTCATATCCAATTAGTGTACTCTCAATTCACCATTCACTGTCAGAGAAGTCAGTATCCTCACTGTGCTCATCTTCACGACTGGTGTAAATGTTTTATCGTTGTCGGTATCATATGTCCGGCTATACTCTTTTGCCACTAGTCGTGTTTTTAACCTCTCAACATTCTCTTCTGGAGTTTGCTTTACCATGAAGATACACTTGCATCCAACTGTCTCCTTCTCTGCTGGTAGTGGTGCAATCTCTAATGTTGGGTTTTTCTCAAAAGCTCAAAGCTCTTCATGTATCGTGGCTTTCCACTTAAATCCTCTTTAGAAACCTGACTACACTTGGGTATAGAGACAGAGTTCAATGATGTAATGAATGTTCCATGCAAATGCAAATGTAAGATATTAGAATAAGAAATAAAGTTAGCAATGTCAAGTTCCAACCCAAAATGATCAGGAAGATGCCCCACATTGCTGTAGAAGGATCTTCCTTAACATTGGAGGTTTAGGAGTGGACGGAGGAGGAAAAATATTACCTTGGAGTTTTGAATTGAAGGTGAATGGTGTAAGTGTCTCAAGACTTGGTAAAAATAGCGACAAGAGACTTGTTGGCATTGCAGAATCTATTCCTCTAGTTTGCTTCCTGTGTATACACCCTTAACTCACATTCTGCCTAAATTCCACCACCTCTGAGGAACTATTTGTGTACGTAATACGCATGCAATTCTGCATGCATACTCCATTAACCCCGCAATACCCCATAATAATCTATGAATAACATCGAAATAGAACCCGTGAAGGTTCTTGGAAGGTTATAAGTCATTGAAATTAATACCTCAATAACCTCTCAATAATCCCATAATAACTGCGAAGAGGAGGTTATTGCAGGGTTATTATTCACGCAGCTCTGCGTGCATATTACGTACGCAAATATTTCCCCCACCTCTGTGTCAATCTTCTTGATTTTCGTCTCCTCCGCTGATTCATGCCACATCACAAGACATGACATTGCTTCTTCTTGCACTACTCTATCACCATTGCTACTCACTCTCTCTTGTTTTATATCTCTAGTGTTTGTTGAGTCACCGAAGGGTGAGTTCGCCACTAGAGTGCGGTATGGTTCAAACTCTCTGAATTACACATCCATACTCACAAAGTGTATCTTTTCAATTGGTCTCCAGCAGGCATAATCCTTCTGAATAGCAGAATAACCTACGTACACACATTTCACAGCTCTGGGATCGAACTCTCCTATAGATTGTATGTTATCTTTTACAAAACATACACATTCAAATATCTTTAATGGAAGGATCCCACTATTATCCCCTTTCAATTTTTGATAAAGAGAATTTCACTTCAGCACTCTTGAGGGCATTCTGTTGAACAATTGAGCGACTATCAACACTGCTTGGCTCATAAGTGTTGTGGGATATTTATTGTCATCATCATGCTCCGGGCTACCTCTATAAAATGTTGATTCTTCTTCTCTGCTACTCCATTTTGTGTTGATGTGTATGGGCATGTGGTTTAGTATCGTGTCCCTTGAGCTGACAGATAGTCCCAAATGTTTTGTTGATATATTTTGTCACATTATCAGATCTCAATGCCTTCACAACTGCATTATATTGAGTATAGATTGTCTTGTGAAATTCTTTAAAGCAAGCAACCACCCACTATTTTTTTCATCAGGTATATCGAGGTAACATGAGAAAAGCAATCAATAAACATAACCAAAGATCGATAACCATTCACATAATTAGTAGGACAAGGTCTTCATACATCAAAATGTATCAAATCAAAAAACACCAGCATTCCTATTTCTAGAATTGACATGAGAGCTCTTAGTAAGCTTGACAAACTCACAAACATCAAATGCTCGTTTTTTCTTATTTCTCTTTTCATACATAGATGGATACAACCGACTCAGTGAATTAAGTCTAGAATATTCAATACATCTGTGATATAACAGTAACGTATCCTCGTCGTTCCTCCTAGATTCTCCTATTATAGCACTTTCTACCATGGATAACAGAGCTGAGTTCATCCCCTCTCCAAGTACTAGAGTCCACTATACCACGTTCCAGTTTCAAGTGTCTAACTCCTACCTTTCTCTGGGAAGATCAACAATAACAACAAAGCCTTAATCCCATTACGTGGGATCGGCTGCAAGATTTCTTTTTCTTCATTGTGTCATATTTAGTGTCATAATTTCATTTAGTTCTAATAAATTAAGATCATTTTTTATACAATAAGCCTAAGTCTTCCTAGGTCTACCTCTGCCTTTTTTAACATAAGTCGAATCTAAAATATCTACTCTCTTAATCGGATCATCAGATGGTCGACATTTAATCTAACCAAACCATCTAAGACGACTTTCTCTAATTTTTTCTATCATATTGTCCA